AATCCTCGCATGCTCACCAGAGGATCACCAGAACCTGTCCAACCTCCCCGGTGACCGCCACCAAATCACATTCAAGACAAGTTTTAATGGAATTAATTTCATTATTCCTTCTATCGGTTACAGGGCAATACACCTTGAAACGGCTTGCGTCGTAAACGCCTTAATTGGGCTTTTAAATCATCTAATTAATGACGAGGTAGAGCTATCTAAAGCTCCAAATAACAGAGCCTCTTGCGCCCTCTGCATCCGCCATAAAGACATGCGAGCTATAAGGGGAAACCCAAACCAAAACACGGCCAACACACAAATTAAAAGTTGGTTACTACAATCCGGTAACGAGGCAGTACGCCTAACAACGGCTTGCGTCGGAAAGGAAAAAACTACGTTACTAAATAGTTATTTTCCTAACGAATTTGAGCTTTACCTAGTCCACCAAATCAGAGTCTCCCTATCAAACGAACCTTACTTTGGCAGAATTGTTTCAAAAATAAATTCATACATATATTTAAAGCCCCATCATCAACCCATTGATACAAAACAGTCGCTTATTTGGATCAATGCTAGAGGGATTTAAGACACTCATCCTCCTATCATTGAATTCTTTCATCCTCTAATCAATTCCTTTTATACCAGCAGGATATCAGAGTATGGCACTACTCCAAAGATGGAAAATACACAATCAAGTCGGGTTATCATCTAGTTCTGGAATCGGCTCTGGCCTCAAGTCGGAAACCAATAGTCATATTATCGACCCTCCCATTTCGAAAAAGACTTGGAATATCCAAGTCCCGCCTAGTTTAAATTCTTCATATGACAATGCCTCAAAGTCATTCTCCCCACAGTGGTGGCCCTACAATCCCGTGGAGTTAACTGCCTCAATCGATGTCATATTTGCTAGAGATATCAAGAGATTATTAAACGATTATTATTATTCAGATTCCCCCTAGCCACCAAGTTGTGGATGTTAGTGGGATTGAGCAACTTCATTGATTCCGCCCCGACTATTAACTTTAGTCTATGGTGGCGACATGTCATTGTCTCTAAGACCTCCTCATTCCACATTCTCTAGTGCATCTGCTTACTTTGGAGAATCTAGAAGTCAATAAATAAAGTGACTTTTGAATTATATCTATCTCATGTCTGTTCCCTAGCCAGACAATTCTACAACCAGGTCCTTGAAGTCTCCAATCTTCTCCCCCTCCTCCACCCTGCAGATCGCTCCTACCAAAGCCTCATCCTGTCACCTTGGTTCCTCCGCCAGACGACTATTTGAAGGTCAACTTCGACGCAACTGTTTGTGAGTCAGGGTGTTTGTCTGGTCTTGTTGTTCGTGGGCCGGACGGGCATGTGGTGCTAGCATTCGGTTTGCGCCATCAGGGAGTTATCAACCCCTACATGATAAAGCTCATAGCCGTTCGAGACATTATCAGCATCGTTGCCTCAAGATCCTTGACTCATGTGATAGTGGAAGGTTACTCCGAAGTGGTGGTCAACCAAGTCCGATAAGGCATCCTAGAAGACTCATTGGAGGTCTAGTGCTCCGGGAGTGTCGTCAAATCTAAGACTCTTTGTCAGCTTGTATAGAATTTAGGGCGGTTCCTAGAACCGCCAACAGTGTTGCCCATAGAGTGGCGCATAAAGCACTGTTTTTGTCTCGTCTAGTGTTAGAGTCTTTCGTCAATTCTGTTCGGGGAACAGAAACATATTTGTACATCAAACATAAATCAACTACTTGAAAATTACAAGGAAAAGCGTAAATCAAACATAACACAAAACTACTTAAAAATTACATATTAGGATCCTCTTGGTAAGAAGCCACAATGTCATCTTTTTGTCTTTGATACTAAGCCCAAGATTGAGGGCTCATTTGAGAAAGATCTTTATTCATAACCATCATCTCATGCCTATTTTTCTCCCTTAATTCCCTTGTTCTATCTCTTGCTTCTCTTTCAACTTCGTGTTCCTCTCTATCGAGTGCTAGCCTTGTGTGTGTTCGAATTATCATACTCTTTTCCCAACTTTATGAGGAAGAATATAGAGTTCTTATATTCTTCTTCTTTTGCTTATCACGGCCTTCGGGACGGTTGATCATAAATGGAGTAGCTTAAACATTGGGACTATCACTTTCGCCAGACGGCATGCTCGATGAAGATCCACCCATTGCTTGAATGGATGGCACGAGGGAAGTAAATTGTTGCACAAACTTTGAAGAATGTGTAAGTATCTCCCAATAATGCTGCAAATTGAAAGGCTTTCTAGTGTCTACCTTGAAAATATTTTTAGCTCGTTCAGCCTATACAATTTTAAAAAGTATTTTTTTAACAAATATGAACAAGCTAATCAATTAACAAATTAAATGCATAATAATCCTTATTTGCAATTGACTAACCACATCGTTAAGGTTTTCTCCACTCATTATTGTCGTGTTTGCTCTCCTCGATGTCGCATTCCATGAACCACATTTCTTGAGTATGGTCTTCCATCGATATTGTAGGCCCCCATTAGGACGTGAAATTCTCGACAAATACTACCTCAACTTGCCTCCAAAACTCAGGGCCATATTGATAATAGCCAACAAAACCGTCCTTTGAAATTTCAATCCATGCATAGCACAAAACTTGATCTCCAGACTCCTTCCAATTCGGCAGATGATTGCCTTAAGACATAATCAGGAGTTTTGGAGGAATATAATATTTTGGATGGGAAGAAGATGAATATCACAATTGGAGACAATTGAGAGGGAAATATTGAAGTGATGAAGTAAAAGTAAAGATATTGAGGTGTATTTGTATGAAAAATTTGCAAAAAAATAGTTGTTGGGAGTTGGGGCTAAAAGATCCGTTGGGGTGAATTTGGGGACTAAAAATGTAATTTTTTCTGTTGCAACGGTCAGACTGAAGGAAGCATCGCGGGCGGGGCAATTGTGCAGTACGCGAGCACAAGATTGGCCCGACGCTTTTTTTTTTTTAGATAAGGGTGATATATGTTACTTTTTTTTTATTAGGTACTACTGAAGGGACTCGAACCTGGGACCTCCAGGTTCATGGCTACTGGTATTACCACTAGACCAATCCCTTGTTCGTAAGATTGGCCCGACGTTCACTTGGCGATTGTGCCCCCTGGTAGTTCCGCGAAAATTGGACCTTCTTATCCACTTGTGGTCCAACTTTGCCTCAAATTCGCCTCAATCCAATTTTCTGGACCTATGGAACCCCACTAAAGTGTCATGGGTCCGAACTTTTTAAATTCTGGCCCAGCACTAAATATGGTCTTAGATACATGATAGAACAACTTGTATTAGTATATGAGCCTGACTGAATCCACAAGAGACCTTCGGGACTAAAATTGTCAAAAATAATTTGCACTTTTTTATGAAACAATTTGCACTTGGATGATGGTAGGGAGCGGATCTATTGCATATTTAAGTATGCATAATCCAATATTTACTATTTTTGGGAGACTACTAACCTTTTCCCAATAAATTTTAACGAAAAGTCAAAATTAAAAAAAAAGTTTGCACATAAAAATTAGATTCATTTGTTATTCAAAATGACATTCAATTTGATATATTTTGAAATAAAAAATTGAGACTTTTATTATCAGTCTCTACCATGTGGTATCACTTGGTATGTTAATAAAATAATAAGATTGTACCACGTGTTATGGAAGTGTACCATTGTGGTATAAATATATTATTATAGTAGAGAATTGTTGTATACATGATAGTAGGATTATACTTACTGTCATTTACACATTTCATCATCGTCTACCACCAGCTACCACCCTATAGCAGGGTGGTATAAGGTGATATATTTAGTTTTGTAATTTTCCCCCCAAAAATTTATAGATCCAATAAATCACGATGATCTCGTTCCTTATGAGCAAAATTATTCAAAATTCGAGTTAAAAACGAAAAGTGTAGCAAGGTGGTAACAGGAGGTATGAGTGGTATGAATTTTTTTTCTTGAAATATATTGAAAATAGATCTCATTTCGTAAATCACAACAAACTCGTTCCATCTTTTCAAAAAAAAGAAAAAAAGAAATCCAAACTAGAACAATGAATATAAAAGTCAATTAAGAAAACTAGAGAAATTATTAAAAAAATTCATTTATTCTCTGCTCTTAGATCCGGCTCCACTTCAAATTAAGGGCTCAAAGTTTGTTATGTGAGGGTTATGCACTCTAAGGTTATTGACCTTATCTTTTATGATGACGTGGTGTTTGGTTAAAGTGGTCTAACTTATCGGTGTTGGAGGCAAAGTGATTCAAATAGTTAGCAATTTTGTACATGATGGGTATTTTATAAAGTTCGGATCAAAGTAGTCTATAAGTGTAAAGTGTAGATCAAACTAAGGTATTAACTCAAATAATAATGAATACAATTTGAAATATTTATATTTTAATTCTATTAAATGACTTTAATTTTATTAACTTTTCATACTACGTAATAACCAGGTCATTAATATGTAATGACTCGCTAACGATTAATGGTGTTGATCGTCCAACTTGACGTTTAACCATAATGATAAATCAGATTAAAGTAACCCAAATATTGAAGGATTGTGACGACGTACAGTAACTCAGTAAGTTGTACCAGAAGAGTCACTGATGGTTACTTTAGGCTGAAAACGTGATTTAACTGTGGTTCAATGATTTCATACCACCTACCAATTTTACTTTAGGTTGAAAACGTGATATAACTGTGGTTCAATGATTTCATACCACCTACCAATTTATCATCCGATAGAATTTTGTTTTTTTTAACTGCTGGTGTGATACGAAATAGTATGAAGTTCCCATCTGAGATTTTTTCAAAATTCGAGCTGAAATAGTCTATTAGTGTGGAGTTTAAACCAATTTAAGGTTAGCCAATATAAATAACTACTATTTATTTGTTTTATGGTAAACAAATAAAATAATTACTTAATTCTATTACAGACACGAATCCTATCACCTATCTTAAACCAAACCCAGCACTCTGCTCGGCTGCGTTGTCTGCTCTTGGAGTCGGACCAAACTATTAAAAAAGAGAGAGAGAGAGAGAGTTCCAATTGCTGCTGATCAACCACCAACGAGAGTCTCTGCAAAATCTCGCGTAAATATTTGCCCTCCTCCGACCACGGTTTCCCTCTGTAATTATCTCACTTTCTTCCCCATCTCCGGAGGTTGGGCAATTTCTGCTCTACGAGTCGAGAAAGAGACGGGACGAGCTTTAGAGGCTGCAAGTTAGTTTCTTTTTGTGGGTTCTTCAGCTACATCCGCTTCGTATTCACTGCTTTTTCGGATTTTTAACTTCTGGGCATTAGCTTCCCAATTTGGTATGTCGGCATGGTTGAGAACCTTGTACCTCGTGAATTTTGCTGTTCACTTTCGCCATAGTTGAGTGTTGTGGTCAGACAAATTGTTTTGGAACTGTAACTGTAGAACTGGAAAGGCGTTTGCTTGGAGATACCCTGAGTTAGATTTCGTGAGCTAATGAATAGGCTAGGATGATTTTGTGAATGAAGTTTGACCTTCATCAGGTAACATTTCTTTGCTTGAAAAGGTTGTGTTTTTTTCTCTCCTTATAACTTTCGATGTTCTGTTGTCTTGCTCCTTCATTCTATGTGAATGCAAAGACCACTGAGTAAGATTATGAGTTTCGGCAGGCTGACTCTTTTGTTTTTTAGAAATGTCGGGTGCAAAAGGGATAGTAACCTTATTTTTCCCCAACTCGGTATTGCTGTTATTTACTTGCATTGCATCATGGTCAAGATTGCTCATTTCCTTCTTTGTGAATCATAGATCTCGTATGATTTTTAGATGATGATGGTGGGTCATTCTGGCTTTGGTAACAGGCAGTGGGAAGATTGGGTTTTGACAAAAATGTAAACTCAACGAAGGTACTCACATGATTTGGACAAACTGGCAGAGTATGAACTACAACTCTTCCCCTGATTGTGGTTTATTCTGGTATCGATGATAGACTTCGGAGGATTTGGCTAAGCTGAAAAGAATTTCGTGCAGAATTTTGAGGATGAATTCCACAATGGATGGCATGAACTTGATTCAGCAAGCTCAAAGACATCACTTAGTGGTCAGGGAGCTCGGTGAGGAGATTGATTTGGAAATAAGTCATGGGGATGATGATCCTTCATTCGCTAGTACCCCTCTAATTGGCAGCGGGTCCACTAGAGAACCTTCTTCCGAGGAACCTGAGGAACCTAAGGAGTTGACAATGGATTCTCAACTTCCCTCTGAAGATCAAGATTTGTCAAAGATACAACCAGCAAAAAGAAAGAAAAAGGTTGTCAAGAGATGGAGAGACGAATGGGCTGATACATACAAATGGGCATATGTGGACGTAAAGGAAGGAACCGCGAGGATTTTATGTTCAGTATGTAGAGAGTATGGTAGAAAGCACAGAAGGAATCCATATGGGAATGAAGGAAGTAGGAACATGCAAATGAGTGCCCTGGAAGAACATAACAATAGTTTGCTTCACAAAGAGGCACTTCGTCTGCAAATGGCCTCCAAGGATAAAATTGTGGCTGATAAACCCATTCATGTGAAAGGTCAGTTCGGCTCCTCCTTAGTTTGGTTATGACGAAACTAGTTGGGTTTCCAGAGATATGCCTTTTTGAATTTATGTCGTTACTGAAAAACGATATTTCCTTATCTTTGATGATGTAATGCCCAAGTGATAATTTTGCATATACAGCAGCAGTTATGTCCAAAACAGCTGGGTCAATCATTGAAGCTGCGTTGAAAAGGGACCCTAATGAGATTGAATTTATACAATCAGTGCAAGAAGTTGTCCATGCTCTGGACAGGGTGATTGCAAAAAACTCCAAGTGAGTCTTGCCCAGCTCTAGCAGTTGTTTATTTTCACTCATATTTAAATAACAAAGAGGAACTCTTTGTTGCCAGCCTTTTAAGCGAATCTACTGTTTTCAGCTATGTCAATGTCATAGAGCGCTTGATAGAACCTGAGCGAATGGTTCTTTTCCGAGTTCCTTGGATGGATGACAGGGGTGAGACACATGTCAATCGGGGTTTTAGGGTACAGTTTAACCAGGCATTAGGTCCATGTAGAGGTGGTATGCGTTTCCATCCATCAATGAACCTCAGCGTTGCTAAGTTTCTAGGTGTTGAACAGGTACTCTTTTTATTTCTCGAAGTTATTGAACCATACATGGTCAAACTTTCCCATGTCCTTACTTTCTTTTCTATTTTATCTTTATATTTGTTTGTAGATTGATTTGTTTCACAAACCACCCTATGCATGTTGTTCCTTACAGACCTTTAAGAATGCCTTATCACCTTACAAATTAGGAGGAGCAGCTGGTGGAAGTGATTTCGACCCCAAAGGAAAAAGTGATAATGAGGTAATAGTTCATTCTAGACCACGATGGTTTTCAGTTGGTCTTTCTTTTGAAATTGGGATGTTTCTGATCTACTTCTGTTAAATCTACTCTGGCAGGTTATGCGATTTTGCCAAAGTTTTATGAATGAGATCTACAGATATCTAGGGCCTGAAAAGGTGAAAATAGTTTGTTTCGTTATGTAACTCTATTCTATATCTGCTGGCTGCTGCTTCATTCCAATTTCTGATCTATTCATTCTAGGATCTCCCTTCAGAGGAAATGGGTGTTGGTACCCGAGAGATGGGGTATTTATTCGGGCAATACAGACGTTTAGCTGGTCATTTTCAGGTATTTCAGCTGCTCCATTTTTGTTGAAAATACTTATGAATGTTATTTCTGGGCTAGTCTACTTATTTCAGCTCTGCAATATCTGTTTTGTCTTTTACTTGTCTATATATGTGTGTGGTACTGATTTTTTGTTTTAGGGAGGAGACACTAAGTTCTAAAGGCAAAGGGGAATTTCACAATAATGACCTTTACTTGCTTGTACCATAAATTTCTGCATGTTAATACCTAGTTACCCTAAGATTTTCTGGCATTCTTGCCTCGGTCTTTTCTCCATGATAACTGCAGTTCTTTTATACTTCTCAGCATTTGAGCATGTATATGCTTATGTAGTTTCTATATGTTGTATATTGCTTAAGTACTTTATTGATTCACTTTATCATTTATGTGTTATAAGTAGCAAATAAACTTGTCTTTATGTAGTGATATTTATAATGTACTCATGCAGGGAAGTTTTTCAGGGCCAAGAATATTTTGGTCTGGCTCGAGTCTTCGAACTGAAGCGACTGGTTATGGTCTGGTAATGCTGCTTCTGTATCTGCTCCTGAAAAACTTGTTACTTGTGTTTGATTATAAAGATGATTGTTGGGACATTTTATTTTGCACTTTTGTTGTTTGATTTGCTATAATTCATTTTTGTAGCAATATTTCTCCAATCTTTCCGCTTTCAGCTGGGGGTAAATTTTCATGTTTAGTTTGAGATGATTTGCGAATTAATCAGCTTCCATGCCTTTGCAGGTTTTCTTTGCCCAACTCATACTCGCAGACATGAATAAAGAGTTAAAAGGACTAAGGTATGCTTCCAATTCTGAGTGCTTCTTGAACTTAAATGTGAAATCCAAAGGGAAAATGTGGGTGTGCTTCGAATAGTGATGTGTTTAGCTGGAACTCAGATGCCTCAATTGGTAATGTTGATGCGTGCTATACGTTGGAATAGTTTATAGATATTGTTGAGTGATCATCTGACAAGAAAGAGATTGCAACTTTGGATCTTTTGTAACAATGTAACAGTGGATTAGCAATTTGGTAAATTTCATAGTTAAGACGTTTCACAATCTCTGCCTATGAAGATAGATATCACGGTCACTCAAGCAAGGATATTTTGGCCATGATATTGAGTACCTAACCACTTTTACCTTCTTTTTTCGTCCATACTGTGGATTGGAAGAGAGCTTTGGCATGATGAGCTGTATTGATCCGAGGCTCCACATTCTTTTTTATAGTGTAATGAACAATGAACTTTTGATGCAGGTGTGCTGTAAGTGGTTCTGGCAAGATTGCCTTGCATGTCCTAGAAAAGCTTATTGCTTATGGCGCTCATCCAATTACTGTATCAGGTACCTCATATCTGGCATCTATTCAAGTAAAACGAAATTCAACGAGATCAATATGCTTATCATGATTATCAACTTGAAGTAATAGTTTGAAGCATCTACTTGCAGTATGGAATCTTCATTTAGGCTAGAAAGTTCGTAAAAATTTTATTTGTGTTATTCTGCAGACTCGAAAGGATATTTGGTCGATGAGGACGGATTTGATTACATGAAGATATCTTTTCTGAGAGATATCAAAGCCCAGCAAAGAAGTTTGAGGTTTGATTCTCTCTCTGATATCTTTTACCAAGTTTGTGTCTGAATCTACTCTAATGGTTTCCGTGATTTCCCCATTCATGATTTTCTCTAAAATGTAGAGATTACTCAAAAACATATGCCCGATCAAAGTACTATGACGAAGCAAAACCCTGGAATGAAGGATGTGATGTTGCATTCCCTTGTGCTTTCCAGAATGAAATTGATCAGTCGGACGCCATGAATCTTGTTAATTCTGGCTGTCGGATACTAGTAGAAGGTCCTAACTCACTCTTACGTGCTTTGAATTGCTGCTTCTTGTATTGCTTGAAAAGTTAGTATGAAAACAATCTCCCGTTCTCTCAGGTTCAAACATGCCATGCACATCTGAAGCAATTGAAGTTTTGAGAAAAGCCAATGTTCTCATTGCTCCTGCTATGGCAGCTGGTGCTGGAGGGGTAGGATATTTTTCATTCAAATAGTTTGTCGGTTCATCTTCTAATTCATGAAGACACAAAGACGCATTGAAGCATATGATTATGTGGCGGAACTTTTTTGCTTTGCACAGGATATTGCTGAGAGGTTTACCTTCAAAGCAGTTCCTAGCTCTCGTTGGAAGCAGATGAAAGTTGACCCATAACAATTTTTACATGCTAAAGATGCACAAATTACAAACTTACTTCCATACATGCAGGTTGTTGCTGGAGAGCTGGAACTGAACCACGAGTGCAATTTGATGAACTGGTCTCCTGAAGATTTTGAATCGAAGTTGCAGGTAGCTACAGTTGCATCAGATGTTTTTGTCGACACCAATCACGTGGAGCCAGTGCTCTCCATAGCTTATATTGTAGTTGACCAAAAAAATTGGCGTATATTTTGTGAGTGATAGGAAGCAATGAAACAAATATACCAAAGAGCACTCAAAGCAGCGAATGATTTCGGCTATCAGAAAGAGAGCCCCGAGTAAGTTTCCCAGTTTATCTATGCATGTAATCTTTGACTTCTCTGAGACTTCTGCATGCAATTTTCTACTATTATGTAGGAAGAAAATCTGAAAAAAGTGCATAACTTAATATCTACTTCATCCCTACCGAGAGATCAATCTTGTTAATGCACGTTGCAACTTCTTGACACGCAGGGCTTTGGTTCATGGGTCTGTGATTTCTTCATTTCTGGCTATTGCTCAAGCTATGACTGACCAAGGATGCGTATAGATGACGCCCAACAAGTAACTAATGATTTGCCTTATCTCCTGCCAAAGTTGGTAGATACTCCTCAAAGGGCTAACCGACTGTTGTTTCTCCATGGTGAAAGCTCAATCACCATTTGCAGCCATGTGCGAGGCTAAGGTTTATGGTGAGAAGAATGAAGACAATTCTTCCTGCTAGTTGTAAAATAACTTATAACATGACCCACAAATGTTGGAATATATTAATAGTAGAATGGTGTAAAGAAAAATATGGGTTAGTTACTTAGTTGTAGGGAGTAGGTAGGAACCTTATGGACAGGAAGTGTGTATTTTATGTTGCATTCTTGTCACATATGAGATTATGTGACTTGGAAATAGAATTTCATAATTTATTGGCTAGAATTTCTCTTCCATTTTACACATGCAATGTCTGCCTTCTGTCATTATTCCCGTAGTACTTGGGTTAATTCGCAGCCGTTTATCTCTTTAATCAGTTTCCCTATACTTATTCAATGTGTCCAAAATTTGTATTCAAGAAGTCTGTCAATGAGGAATCTATAACCACAAATAATGTCAACAACCACATGAGTTACAGTTTCAAAGGAAGGTTGGATGCTTTTACAAGTAGTCCAAGCTCATGTTCCATAGACTATTGGTGGCTGAAATTTCAAATTTCAGTGCAAAGGTAAACGAAAGTTTATCGGGTAAATGACACATTTGGTCACTGAGATTACTAAATCGTATCATATTTAGTCACTAGAAAAATTTAATATCAATTTTGGTCACTCGAATTACTGAAACATGTCACATTTGGTCACTCTTCTGTAGCCTCTGTCCAACTCCGGTCACTTGAATTATTGAAAAATGTCACATTTAGTCACTCGGATTACTGAAACATGTCACATTTAGTGACTCTCCCAAAAGTTTCCGTCCAACTACATTAATGGAGTTGGACGAAAACTGACGGGAGAGTGACTAAATTTGACCAGTTTCGGTAATTCGAGTGACCAAAATTGATATTAATTTTTTCTAGTGACTAAACATGACACAATTTAATAATCTCAGTGACCAAATGTGTCATTTACCCAAAGTTTATCCTTATTGAAACAAAAGTCTACCTGCAAATTCATTTTTCAAAAGTGTTCCTGTCTGCTTTGCCGGTTTTAGCATTCATCGAATCTGCAAAGCAGAAAGAGGTTTTACCAATCCACATCCGCCGCCTCCATTCAATATCAGCAGCAAAGCTAAAGTCTCGCATTAAGTTTTGATAAAAACACAGCCTAGATTACAACACATCATTAATAAGTTCATCTAGTTGGCTCTCCTTGACGAAGAATGATGAGATGATGAGTCGGATTTCTCGGCCAGATAGTGCTCCAGCATGTCCTCCTCGTCGTCTGCTATGTTATCAAAAGAAAAAGGTTTCTGATGAGAATCAAAACCAAGGGTGGCATTGAATGGAAGGGCATCAAAATAAATAGTTTGAATTAACAATAAGGGAATAACCATCAAAATCGTCGTCATCAAAGTCGATATCTTCTTCATCTTCCTCCTCGGACCCTTCGTTGACAGGTGCTGCACCTCTCTGCAGGAAGGACAATATAGCATTTTACTAGGACTGATTATTTATGACTAATAATAACATCATTAGTTTCTACTGTGCTTATCTAGAAACATTGTCACAACAAACACTCAGCAACAGAGGTATAACATACCCCTTTACCACTTTCGAACCACTGTCTGCCCGTAAGCTTCTTCTCTTTCGGGGCGGAGAGTACAGACTCGGGCATCAACCTGAAAATGGTTATTTGTCGTTAGTTATCACTAAACAATATTTAAGAAAAGAGACGTCATTCTTGGCATTAATTTCAGCAAGGGAACAATGTTGAAAATTGACATGCTTTTTATTTTTGACACTTGTTGCTATAAACATTTTATACTGAAATGAGATATAAGCCTATAGTCGAAGCCAAACCTCAAGAGTTAAAGATTATACAAGCAGATAGCCGAAGAGCTACGCAGCCAATTAAAATTTTGCAGGGATTGACACATCGAAAAGCAAGATCTTCATTGATCAGAAGGTGAGGTGCATTATAGAACAGATACCAAACTCTGTGTAAAATTGATACTCTCTTTCAGATTGTATAAACTTTCTGATGTGCTGGAAACCCCCCCTAAGGTCTCAAGAATATAACATTTTTCCACTTGCAGAGTTATAATTGTTTCTAGCAAATATCAACACAGAAGAGATATAACTCTTTCTATCATTAGGGTTAGTATCGAGAGCACTATAGTTTTACAAACCACCATCAACCTTATTCTCATTCATTATGAAGGGAAGTTGTTTGTTCAAATACCGAGTTGGCTTTTAAAAATGATAGCATTTTGAAATGTTCAGTTCCTCTCAAGTGCCCAATTAATCTTAACTTGAAAATGAAACCTGTGGTCTCCATTGTATGAATATCACTTGATAACAAGTTTAGCCATGAAATGAAACATTCGTTCAACTTACTTTGCTCGCTCAAGTGCCAACTCTGCTTCAAATCTCTCCCTCCATGCAATGAAAGTCTCGACAGTGACTGGTTCTCCATGTGGTATAATTACCTATCTCAAAGCAAAATAAGATATGCAGAGGTGAAAAATCGGACCAGTGTAAGAGAGAAGCTACCAATGGACCAGGTGTAATAAGCATGTTATAAGAGATACATACATCGTCTTTGATTGCCTCGAGATCCTCAATATCATCATTCTCATCATCTTGACCATATAAATCAGACAGCCAATCTTTAGCTGACGAAACCAGTGTGTAGATCATTGCCATACCTAGATTTTCAGATGCCTGTAAGAGTACAAGTCAAATTATACCGCTAATCACAAACTTTCTAAAGTTTATCAAGTAGTACGTTCACCTTATAGTTGTCATAACTACGAAAGATGTTTTTGAGTTCCGTGTACACTAGTTAAACATAATTCAATAAGTAAGAAAAAAAACCCACAACTCCATGCCATCCCGGATCTTGAAGCTCAAATAAAGTCAAAAGTGGTATTAAGATTTATTGCGGCAGCTAAGCAGGAAATAGTAATAATACCAAGTTGCTTGGTTTTCCAATGCATGGTAAAATTTCAGGAAGCCATGAAGCAAACATTACCCAGAATAGTACACTACAGTGAAATAAATCACAACAGACCATATGGTTACCTCTTGTTCAAGCTTTTCCTTTAACTTCTTAAGATCACTTGGCTGTACACCTTTTATGCTGACAAAACACAGAAACAAAGAGGAACGAATAAATAATATAGTAGGGACAAGAGATTTCAAGCAAGTATACCGAAAAGAAGGTGACTAATCTGTTGTACAGCCATATGATGCAGAAGGAGCTGTTTTAGACTCGGAAAAAAAAAACAGACAAAGTTGAGAACAAAAGTAACATTGAGATTCCTTTTCCTTCTTAACACTGACCTTGTCACATTCAAAAGTGGAGGTTCATCTGGATATTTTTCTGTGTGGGAGAAAATTAGGCCTAGCTGAACTGCAAAAGAGTTGCAGAAACAGTGTTATCGAAAAGCTGGAATAGCAAAGGGAGCGATCAGGGATTCACCAATCACTTACGTTCACAAAAAGGAAAACAATAAGAAAACAGGAAAAAGGATAACCTGGGGTAGTTGTTGACTGGTCTATGTCATCATCCTGTTGATAACAAAAGTACAGGGAAAGGTCATCAGAAAACCTGTGTTAAAAAAAAAAGGTAGCGCCATGACTCATGAGAAGGACGGTACCTGTGGAGTGATTGTTATCTGGAAACACCGAGATGAAGTATTTAAACCACTCTCAGAGGAATGGATTTCTGACAACAAAACCAAAATCGTATCAAAATTATAGGCCAGGACAAGGATCACAATTGGCATCACCAAACTAACCACACATTTACATACCTTTGAACTCATCCATAAGTATAGCTTCCAATGCTTCGATTTCCATCTCCTGCTCTTGTGCATAGTCTGATCATTACAACAGAAGAACGCAATCATATAAACATCATAAAGTAGCAATTTTTAGCCACCATTCTCATTGCACCACCCTCATGAGGTTGGCTGATCACAAACAACAGGTTCCAAAATACTAAAACCGATATACAATGACACCCTTAACTTCTAGCAATCACCAAAAGTAGAATTGACAGACTCCCCAGACTTCCCTCAATCCACCTCCTCCACCACTAATTTATCAAGAGAAAACGCAATTGCAGGTTCTTGTAAGCTCTAATTCCACAAGTTCCACAATCCACCTCAGCATCTAAATTGGACGACGTAATCCCCCTCCCCCTTTTCCAACACACAGAACAACAAGCAAAATCGAGAGCCAGCTGAAGAGAAACTTAAAAGGGCGACAACTTTATCCTTGGAGCAGAGTTGACACTTGAGCCAAACTGAACTGAAGTACGAATGCAATTTCACCCCCAAAACATAATTTCATACTGGGTAAAAGGGCAAGTGAATGATCGACGGATTGGTTAAGTAAGGAAGGAAGGAAGGAAGAAAGAAAGAAAAATTTTACCGGTCATGATTGGCTTATATCGCACGCTCTTACTTTCTCTCTACGTATCGGCGGCTTTCTTCAATGGAGGAGGGTGCGTCCTGTTGAGATCAAGGCGAACCGGCACCGCACGAGGCAGCTGAGCAAGAGACGGAGAGAAGCAACACCTATCGCCTCCAGCAGAAAACGGCTCTATACGATGGATGAGTTGGGACTTAGGGTTCGCTTTCTCCGTTCCACCGTTCTTTCGGTACTCATGGATTGGGTTCTCTTTTCGGTAAAGCAAGGTTGTCAACCGGTTTATTGCTTTGGTCCGGTTAAAAGTGATTATATTGTTTATATATTTACTAGCTTTGTGTCCGGCCTGTTGGCCGGGTGAATTTCGTATGGTATTTAATTAATCAAATATTTTTTCATTATGGTTAGACTATTATAAAATTTTAAGTAATTTATGTTTTAACAATTCATTTTCACAAATATATTTGTGGTCTCTTAATATATGTATGATATCTAACTATGTAATTTTTTATTTCTCAACTGTACAACCAACATTCAATCAATAATTGTGTAGTATTAGATTTAAGCAATACACATTTCTCAGTTAGACATTCAAATTATTTTTTTATCAATATTGACTTGTGGTTAATTTTATTCATCTAATTTTGAGGATAGAGAATAATGTCCAATATTATTTGTGTGATATTAAGGATTGCTAATTTCCTTATGCTGGTAGTTTTCTCTCTTTCAACCTAAAGAGTAAACATATACCCTCCATTCTAATACACGTCACATTGAATTTGAAAAATCTACTAACATTTATCATGCACACAAATGGTTCAACCTCTCTAATTTTTATTGATGTCATCTACTAACATTTATCATGCACACATAAAAGTGATTATATTATTTATATATTTATAAATTATATCAAATGATTGATAATATATAATATTACACTAAATAGTTTTGAATCCAATATTTATTGAAAATTCAAATACACTAATATAATATTAATATTTAAATGTTCAACCTAGAAATTCAAAGAAAGGGTTAGACGAAGGAAAAAATCGGAAAAAATGAGCAATTCGCAAACAAAAAAAAACTGAATCGTTTGGAAGTTGTGATTGTTTTGTTGAGATTGTTATTATACATGTATTGTTTACAATGCATCGTTTTTTTTGTTTTTTTAGCAGAAACAATGCATGGATTGTTTATGTGATGTGACAGAAACTATCACTCATTTTGAGTGATTGTTATATCTCAACTTTTAGTTGGGATTGTTGAGATTGTTGAGTTGAGATTGTTTTGTCTCAGCTTTTAGCTTATGCGACATACACAATCACACATACCAAACGTTGTATTCTACAATGCATCAAATTCGACAATACATGTATAATATTATACATGCATTCTCAACAATACATCTATTTAACAATCGCAACTTCCAAACGACCCCTATGTCGTGTGATTTTCAACATGAAACCTTGTTACAGATTGACCCGCAGGTGTGTGGCGCCTTTTTTTCTCACCGGATCAAGATCAACCCATGAGTTGACAACTTTGGTTTAAATTTTAAAGATTATAAACATGACGCTAATTTTATTATATTTTTTATAAAGAGGTTGCGAAACTTTAAGACTTCACCAATCTGCTACCTAAAATCTGTGTATGAAATGATCACTTAGCCCAACTCCATCCATTTTCTTTAAAAAGGGTGATGCCCGTTTGCCAATAGGCAAAGATTGGTTAGGGTGCTAACACTTTTTTGTTAGTATGGTGTTACAACTAATTTCAACCAACAGAAACATTTCTTTTGGATGACTTTTTAATTTAAATGAGTTGACCACAGTTAATAAGGGGGAAGGCCACTTAGGGGCACACTGGTCATTAATTAAAATTTTGGGAAGGGGGTTCACGTGTGTTAATTTGGGGAAGGGAGTGGGGGAGCACCAAACACTAGGGACGACAATTTCGACCTGACCCGTTTTACCCGACATGTTTGGCCTGTTATGGGTGGGTTTGTCCAGCCCCATAGGCGGGGCGGGCATAGGCGGGGCGGGCATGAGTACTCTCATCGACCCGACCTGCCCTGACCAGCCCCATTCTCGACCCCTTCTTGCCTAAATTACATGTGATATTTTTTATAATGGTGATGAACTTTATTAAATAAAGGAAAAGGTTCAGTAGTAGGTTCCCACAAGGCATTATTTTAGTAAAATTACTTAGGATTTTCCTTTTATTACATCATATTTCAGTTATAACATGGTTGTAAATTAGTGAAAACCTCAATTTCTCAAATAATTTAACTACATTTATCATATTATGGTTTGTTTTCTTGGTTTTAATGAAATTAACGAATATTTCTAATATTTTTCATATAAATTGCATACTCATTGGGTCGACCTACCCCGACCCGCGATCCATGATAAATTATTTGACCTGCCATGGGACGGGTATGGGTATCATGATACTCGCCCCAGACCTGCCTCATTGCCATTCTTAAACACTAGCAACAACACCACAAATAACCACAAACCTTAGATAGGAGGCCACAACATCACCACCACAAAAGTAATAAACCACATCACAAACTCATGAAGCACTTCACAAATAAACATACCACAAGTCTTAAAAAGCACATCACAAGTTTATTAAAGCACACCACAATTCCTATAAGGTAGAACGCAATTTTAGTAAAGCACACCACAAATTAAAAACACACCACAAGTTCTATGAAACAAACCGTAAGTTTATATACCATCCGCATGCTCCTTCTTGGATGCTCAAATATATCAATCACAAGGTTCCTCACACACTGCTTGTAGCCTCTTTCGATCATCCCCTTGAAGGAGATCGGTCGATTCTCAATGAAAAAATGTGGTTTTATCGCCTCAATCAAAACACATTCTCGCTGCTGAATTTTTTATCAAGTGAGAACATTGGCTTCTCCATGTTTCGAGACACGAAACTCAGAAATGTGTGCATCATCAGAGTCATCCTCTGAACTGTGAACAGTTCTACGGTCATCGGAGTCGACAAAATCAGACTCCTCATCTCCTTTGTCTGCCTCCTCATCTTCAGGGTCTCCACCTTTTGCTCTACCCAAGTCAGATTCCACATACTTAGTACAATTAACCTCAAACTATTCATTGTCACCATCACTGCTGACCATTTCAGAATCACCCTCATAGTCACTGTTATCTTTATCTACATTGTAGTCCTCGACATCTTCGTCGGAATCATCGCATAATAAAGCTTCTTTTTCTAAACCATCGACTACTTTTCATCCAAGCAACTCAATGGTTAGAGGATGATAATTAGTTGTTGTAGCCATGTTCAACAAGTCTCCATTGTTAGAAATCTCCAACATTGACTCACTGTAGGGCACTTTCCAATAGAATCTTGGATTTTGAATCTTCCCACCATACTTCTCGTAGATTTCAGGCAAGTCGAGGAGCGACAATTCATCGATGTCGACATAGTCATAGAACACACTAGTCTTCTCCTTCAAGAAATGTTTGTCACTCTTCTTCTTCAACTCGTGGTCTACATGAACTTCGAATGTGAACTCACCACTGCATGATCATGTTAGGTAAAAAAAATATTGGTCATAATGCAGTTGAGAAAGTAAATGCAAGGCAGGTGTGTGTTAAAAGCAAAAAGCCTTCTGAAAAGAATAAAGTGCCACTTCTGGAAATGCTTTCCACCATAAAGACAAACATGAAAAAGGGCAGAACTTATGATAGTTTGGCAGGGAACCATTTGGGGGCCGCACATGACCCACCATGATTCTCGGTGAAGAGTCCGACAACCTAAAAAAACAACACCAACTTGCAAATTAAGTATAAAGAATCCAACATCAACTTGGAAAACCCGACGTCGTCCTTTTCCTCTTTCGTTTTGTTTATAAGAAACTCACACTGAACCTAAAAAATACAGCAATAACAAAATATTTATCATTAGAACTACTCCTTTGTTGCACGCCAACCCTAAAAAAGAAGAGTAGAGCAACTAAATCGGGAGAATCGACAACAAACTTCAATTGGTGGATTTAGGTTTTTGGTTTTCGTAGTTCATCTAACAATCGCAGCAACTTGTGATGCCTGGATAACCAAACGAACGAGAAGAAAAGAAGAAATAGCAGGCAAAAGAAGAAGATGTAAAGATTCAAAGAAGAAGATGCATGCTATCTTCCCCTACTCTGGCCATTCGAACGAGAGAAAGAAGAAAGGGAGATGAAAATGGCTATTATTTCTTATGCCCAAAACCCCTTTGTTTTAATTTTGCTACTTAACCAGGTTGGGTCAACGGGTTGGGTTGTTAGCTTAATAGGCGGGTTCTTCTCATTGTACGAGTCAGATTTGATTAAGTTCGGATTAAAACTGTGACTCAGCATTCTGTCTGCCAGCTTGGCACCCTTGTTTGCCACGTCAACAAAAGTGTAACGCCATTGACGACCATTAACGTACACAGACGACGAGTGACCAAGGGTGAAATAAATTTGTAGTATCGGTGACTAAATTGAAGGAAAAGTGATTTGGGTGGCTAACGTGTTGCAAATAGGTAATATGAGTGATCAAACTTGCATTCACCTAGGTAAAATAAGGTTGGGTCAGATTGACTCACCACGCTCGATCTCATCAATTCACATAATTCTTCTGAAGCAACTTAATAAAAAAAACATTAATTTTAAACCCTTGTGTAAATCAAGAAATACTAACAATCAAATATTGATACTAATTGAAGCATAGATGGATGATCAATTCTCCTATACACGTGTAGCATCCATTGGGTATCCCTAGAAGGTATTTCTTGATAATCTAGACAATGCTAGGCACACTGCATATAGTAGCATACGATAGAATCATAAGCATAGATGGTATTAAGAGCATTCATCCTATAGAAACATTAATGACCATAAGAATCATCGAAACAATAAAGAAATCAATGATTAGCATAGGTATCAAAATTCAATAAAAAAACACAAGCATGGGATGAATCATAACTTTCATTCACATAACAATAAATATGATCACATCCTAATACAATCAATTTTGGCTAGCTACATATAGGAGAACGAAGGTACCACCATTGATGATGACATTATCTCCTTAGCGGCATACCCCTCTACTTCGACTAGACTAAGCACTTGTGTAAATATTTGTGTGTTTGTGCAACATTACTCTTACAATGGAGTATTCCCCTTTACTGATAGAAGGGAGAATTTGGCCTGAACCAACCCAAATTGACTAGGAAAGAGTCTCCTAAACCTAGTATACTTAGGA